AAAAGGGCGTGGTTGCTCACGGAGTACTCGCATCCGCAAAGGCAGTCCACCTGCGCAGAACCCAGGCCGATACAAAAACCCTGAGGAACAGCCGGGGTGGTTGCACAGACTCTGCTTGGCTTGGATTGTTGTATCTCGCCTGTGGCCGGGGCGGGGGGAGCCTAAGCGAAGCTTCTCCAATGGTGCTTGCGCAAGCCTCCAATTTTTTGGTTACGTGATTTAAAAGGGAACAGCACGTCCCCAGGACCAACGATTTGCTTCATCAGCAGCCAAAAGAAATTCTCAGAACCTCGCAAAACAAATTGCCCCCCCGCAATATCCTCAGGTTTCATTCACGAACTCGGACCCACCAACCCTTCCCCTGCCACGCGAGCGCCAAGCCTTGCGATCTGAGATGACGCCCGCGTGGGACCAGGTGAGGGCATACCAGGGCCGCCAGTGCCGATGTAGCAACCTCTCAGAAGCAGGGGCGTGGGAGTTGGGGGTACTTGGGGGAGGCTATTGTGTTCTTGCCCGAGAATCGGGGCTCACAGGCTGGTGTTCCCAAAGGATTTAAAGAATTGGGGGGAGAGGGCCGTGGCTCAAATGATTTTGCGGCTTCGCGGTTGAGGAGCTTGGGGCTGGCAACAAGTTGGCCTCCCTCGCATCCTTCGTTCAAAGACCCCCGTGAAACACCGCAGCGAGACTTCAGCCCAAGGGGCCACACGGTGATCTGCACCAGGAAGCACAGGCCTGAGCCGCTCCCCGACCCCCCGCCCAGAAGCCGTAGAAGGAATTTCTCAGGGATTTGCGTCCTCATTTTTGTCCATCATGAATTCACTTTTCGTGCGAACCATTTTCGTGCGAAGCATTTCTCAGGGATGTGTTTCGTGTTTTTTTTCCGCATGGCCCCCAACTCGGCCGCTTTTTCATGTCTTGGGCCCCCGGGCTGTAGACGGAGCACACGAGGCTCTGCACGAAAACGGCCGCCCGGGAGAGGCGGATGGGGTGCAGTAGAAACAAGGCCACGCAAAGTGGGCTCAGCACGAAGACAGCCAGGCCTCGACTCGAGCGAGAAGACCGAGAAGCATACCAGATCCTCCTGGGACAGCTTCAGATCAAGCCCAAAAACCTACACACTCCACCGCTTTTGGAAGGGAATTGATGCTCCAAAGGCGAATCTACAGAAACCACTTCCAATTCCTCCTCTTTCTCAAGGGGATCCGCACAAAAATGGCGCCAAATCTTTTGAAGCCAGCGCAAGGCGGGCGTCGACCCGTCAGCGACCCATGCCCCACCACCTGGGAGGGGACCCCTGCAACAAGCTGCCTTTGGTCTTAGCTTGTCGCTACCGACGGACACAAAAAGTATTAAAAAAGAGTGTTTTCAATAAGTGAAAGGCTGAATATCACCCCAACGCGCGACTGGCGCTCTCCAGGCGGACCCGCACAAACCAAGGAATCCAAGAAGCCCCGTGAGCTACTCGCCAACGGAACCCACAGTAGACAAGCCTACGGTCCGGAATGCGAGCGCATGCTTTGAGCCCAAGGAGCACAAGAACCAACGACCCCACCTGTGAGGCACAGCTCCCAGATGATATAGTGTTGCTGATTGCTTGCAGCTTGAGAAGGGGACGGTCCCTCCAAAAGTTGACAGATTTGTTGATGCATGAAACACCCTCTTATTCTTCAACTTTGGATTTATCAATCTTGGATATTGCGCCCACGTCTCGGCCGAGACGCAGAGATTCCAAACCACCAGGAAGGGCATGCCTGGCCATGGCCACGACAAAGCATCTACCCTCCCTAGAGCTGCCAGAAGATTGGTTGGAGGACATTGCGCCCAATCCCCACTTACAACAAGAATGAATCAACCTGACTAACCAGACATGGAATACAGTTTCTGACCTCACACCTCCGGCTGTGAGTGTACCGGTGCAGATTTGGCACTTGCCAGGGAGGCCAGGTCATGACCATCAGACCACACATCGCCGCCAAGTGGCCGCTGCTGCCCATACAAATCATGCACAAAACACATATCGTACAAATTGAAGCTCGAAACCCGGCTGCCACCCGGCGGCCTGAATCAAAAGACTAGCATCTTGAAGAACCGAGGGGGACACAAGGAAAACAGAATCCATGTTCTTTCAAGACGTAGGGGCTCTGCCCAACCTGGCCCAAGAAATCGAGCGCTGACCTTTGTTTCCTCTCACTTCACGCGCTCAGCGATCCACTCTGCCACGTCGTCAAGCTCCTCCTCGCATGCGGAGTGGCCCATGTCATAGAGCCTCGGCTTTGACGCGGAGGGCTTTCGTCAGTGACAGGATCGCGTGGCAAGAACTGACAGCCCCTTGAAGACGCTACACCTCCAACCTTCACTCAACTCTTAAGACTTTGCCGTTCAATTGGCAACTGCTAAACGCTTTGCATGAATGCTTTTGCGCTTGCCACAGCACAAGCCTTTTTAATGGTGCGCCAAACTTCTCCATTTTGGGGCGGGCATGTCAAACAAGGCGGGTCTGTGCAGCGCCCGGAAAGAGTCAAGTGGCACGTTGTGCGTCAAACTTGGTGGTATCTCTGAGGGTTGATACTTTTAAGCTTGGGAAGGAATTCTTCCGCATTTTGGGGCGGGGCATATCCAACAAGGCAGGTTTGTGCAGCCCCCGGAAAGAGTCAAGTGAAAGGGCCTGAGAAGGGGTGTTGTTGCCTTTGTTGGGTTACAACACTCTTTTTGGATTAGAAAAAAGCGGAACCCGTATGGCGCCAAAGGGAACCCTCCCTTTTCCCTTCCCATTTTGAGGGTCCCAACGTCCATGAGACCAACCCCAAGCCGAGACAAAACCGAGCCGCCGCATCTCCAGCGGCACCGCCAGCTGCCGCAACCGCTCAGCGCCCGCCTCCGCCCAGTCCAGGCGCACCACGCCGTCGGCGGAGCCGTGGCAGTGGAGCACCGGCACCTGCGCCGCCTGCGACGTCCAATGCGGCGACTCGGGTTGCCTCAGAATGGGTCGCTATTTGGTAGCACCTTTCTTGTCAAGGTGTTCTTTGTTGAGGCAAAGTGACGATTATGCCAGTATCTGCCACCTTTTAGCAGAGGCATATACAGCCTGTAGTGATTCCCTAAATATTGCAGGGGTGGGGAGCAAGAGAAAGCCGACAATTTACCATGGTCTGCGTGGCTGGCTCCCTACATTTCCACACTACCGCCAACTAGCAAACGGAAACTCACCACTGTTCACTGGAAATATCTGACCAAGCTTCTTATCAGCGTCTAAAATTAAGCGGGCTTGAACAAGGTGCAAGCACTCTTGCTTCGAAATCGAATCCACAGCAATCAACCGGTGTTGCTTAATCAACCTCTTTGCCGTTTGCCTCTAAAAAGGGAACCAAGCAGATGGGTCATGATCAACTAGACCGGACTGGAATGTGTCTTGGATTGTGTTTTCAAGGGGCAGGGTTTCTAAATGCCCTGAGAGGAAACTCAATGAACATCAGCCCATAAGGTGATGTTTAAACCCAAGAATGGACGCATTGGGCACAACCGAAGGAAAGTGAAGTTGTTTGGGGTGCTAAGTGGGACCCATGGGAGGTGGCAAGAGGCTTTTTGAGGAGAATAACTTAGAAATTGATTTGGAATTTGGGCAAGAAAGAAGCGGGGACTGATGGTTTGCAGATTCCTGCGACGTCCACGTTTGCTTCGGAAAGAAGAGACCGCGGATTTTCGTTTGGGATTCAGCGCAGGCATCTCAGCTTACTACTTCTGTCACCTGACCCTGGCATGTCACTTTTTCTCTTGAAGCAAGCAACCAACTTTCATGTGCTAGACCTGAGCCCCATCCCCATCGACTGATCATCAAGTGACTTGCTAGCCATGGCTTCTAAAACAAGGTGAACCGAGTCGTGCTGTTTTGATCACGGCTGCAACGCACCACGACAAACATTGCTTCTTGTGCCGCCAAAAGCCAAAGAAGTCCAAAAGGCTGCTGGCAATACATGTTGAATGAAGTCAGGGGGTGTTGATAAAGAGGTTACTGCAGCGGCCAGAAGGTTGACCAACCTCAAACTGCATGTAGCGCGGCAACTCTCAGAGACTCTCATCATATGTTCAAGCGAGGATTTTTTACAACCTACGGACCCTTGCAGAAGGGCAAGGGAGTCTCCTACGTGCTTTTTCATTTGCCAACCTTGAGCCCAGGAATCAAGGAATCAGTGAAACTTGCAGACAGTGCCTCGACTGGGAACAAGGCAGCCGCAGCCAGACTGCTTGAAAATAGTGCGGTTTGAACATGGCAGCAACACAGCTGATTCCACTGCTTCCGAATCAGGAGCACGGAGCCCCCCTTACATTTCCCTGGTTTGTGGTTGGTTTACGTGCATGCTTGAAACCCTTGCTTCGCAACCCTCTTATTTCTTGGCCACCCTGCGAACCAACCAACAACCACGGTCCCAGCATGCCACATGTGCGCCTCTGGGGAGGTTGCGAAGGTGCGGGTGAAGGGCAAATACCCTGACATACCTTGGCAAACGGCCACATCCGTGCAGGGAAGCACCAGTAAACTCCCTTGAAACAGCATTCCTGGGTTGTGTTTTACCGAATGGACAAATGAATTCATGGGGAGTTACAGGAATTACAAATTTACTATCTCCGTTCCATCTCTGATAGAATGGCTTTAGTGGAGGACATTATGTTTAATGTTTACAATCCAAGTAACATTGAAGAGGTTCTTTGTCCTAAATGTTCAATTTCCATTTCTTCTTCGTGGTTTTCTTCTTTATCATATGTTTAATCAAAATTTTCTAGATCTTTCTTGTTCTCAGTGAGCCATGAACCCCCCTTCCCAACTACAACTGGGTCCTTGTAGGGAAAGGATGGGGACTAGTCCCGTACCCCGTGCAGAGAACAGGCAAGTGATGCACCTCTTTGGGGTCTGCTCGCACAAACTCTCTGCCTCGAACGGCCATGTCAGGATCCAATACTGCAAAATGCCAATCATGCTTGACTGCAAAAATGGTCCCGTGGTGCATCTTGCATCATCTAGTGTTGCAAGGCAACAAGCTAAGCGGTCAGTCAAGCTAGACAATGGGAAACCATTGTAATTTTGCAACTGCCGGGTAAGCGGCTGCAACCTGAACAAGGGTAAACGGTTGCATTCAAAAGGCGCCCAAAATGCAAATGTCGTGCAAGCAAGATGAATCTGGCATGAGCAACGCGGCTTGTTGCAATGGAAAGATACGAGTCTTGCCACGGAACATTTCCGAAAGAGCCAAACGGTCAACTCAAGCCAACATAGAACATTCCATGTGCGACAGGTGCACCCACAAAATGAATAATGATGTACACTTCCCTTTAAAGCTGGGAAAAAACTCACCTTGCTTGTTCAACAGGGGTGTGGTGAAAATAGGGGTTAGTTGAATTCCTGCGCTTTCCCTGTAAAAGCCAACCCCAAACAGGGATCCACCCCAAAACCTTGCGGCCGAGATGCACACCACGCCCGCCAAGCGAATTGGCAGGCGCAGGCCCGTGTACAAGGAGAGGGCGCCACCCTGGGAGAAGCCAGCAAGGACCTTCGAAAAAGCCGAGGCGGCGCCCCCCCCCCACCACCTCCCAGACCAGAGACGCGTCAGATCCATTTTGCACCCACCTCATTGAGAATTGTTGTTTTTCAGTCTACAAGTAGGCCAAGCCCCCTCCCTACAGGACTTCCCGGATATCCATATTCCTGAAACAACCCGGATTAGGCCCTGGCACCCCTCCATACAATACTACAGAGGTAATAAATGGGGATTCAATTTGTCTCATAGTTACACATCGCTGTTGCCTGAAGCTCTTCGGCTTTCCATTCCTTTTCAATACATTTCTAATCATTTCTACATTCTGTACAGCAACACCGGTTTCCCGGTGTCGCCTGACAGCAAGCGTTGCGCAACTATAAAAAAAAGAGGAACCGTGCGGCGCAGCACACCGCAAGGCTGCCGCGCTCAAAATTAATCGCCTGCTCTTAGTCAGCACCAGCATCCAGCAAGCACTGCACAACTGCCTGATGGCCCCGCCCAGCAGCAATGTGTAATGATTTTGCGCCCCGGCAGCCAGCAAGCTCCGCAAAACTGCCAAATGGCCCCACCCAGAAGGTGCAACGGTTTTTTGGCGGGTGGGCCCCTGCCCTAGATTCACATCCCAGTGGGTCCACAGCAACAATATCCGGAGGAAACCACTAGGCAGAAGCAAAAGGAAGCTATCGTGGTCAATGTCAATATCAACGTTGCATGACTCCGGGGGACCGCTCATCCGAGGAACCCCATGATCACGGATTCATCACCCATCTCAAAAGACGCTCTCAAAGGCCTAGCGAAAATCCCGTTAAACTAGCCTTTCCCAAGGGTGATGTTTTCTGCGGACCGAGGGAGCTAGAGCCTTGATGGACATAGGGTGTCCACAAGGATGGCAACTGCTTCGACACAGAAAATTTCGCCCTCCCAAGCCGGGCTTCCGTTGCCCCTTGGCTTCCCTTGACAACCGCAGTGGAAATGGTATCAAGCCTCAACCCCCCCCAAAAAAAACAACAACTGAAGGGTGGCAAGCGAACACACCATGGCTGGCAACATGACACACCGTTTCCAGCCCAAAAGGGGCATAGTTCCTCGCCGCCGCGAAGATTCTAAGATTCGTCCACGGCTTGCAGCGACCGAAAAAGCAAATGCAAGATTTGAAGCTTGAAGGGGTCGAGCCTACCCAAACGGACTAAAAACAACCCAGCATTAATTTGCCCGAGCACTTCCTTGGCTCTGAGGCAATCAGACCAACCAAACAAAGGCGTAGCTTGCTGCTTTCACGTAAGCTTGCAAATGGTGACAGATACCGTTGATTCCTTAAAGAGGGAAGCATGCAAATGTGAAGACGGACAATATTGACAAAAAGACCGGCGAAAGCCGATACCAAAGAAATCTGCAAAGCCACATCGATAAGCTTCGGGCACACTCGCTCCATGGTGACCCGAACGCTAGAAAATGCGAAGCCTTTTTGGGGGCAGCCATTTTTAGAGGTCGAGCCACGGGTTAAAATCATGCACGGTGCCGCTGAACAAGTCTCCGTTCCGTGGCTCTTGCTCCAAGCCGCGATCTTCTCTGGCGCAAGCCCGGCATCCAGCTCATCCTGGATCAACTGCTCCACCTCAGCGGTCAGCTGGATCAGGAAATCAGGGGCACCATTTCCCACACGACGGTCACCTTGCCAAACAGGTGACTTCAGGTTGGTTAGCCCCAAAGGCTGTTATGCTTGGCAAGCCAGCGGTCAGCTAACGCATCAAGTGATCAAGTGTAGGCAACTCACAATATTTATGCACCCATTGCTTGAGTTTTGGATGATGAAGCCACTGGGACAGCATTGTCCAATTCGCCACAGACAAAACGAAAAAGCCCCTGCCTCTCCCCCCTTCCCAGCCTCACATGCAGTTGCCAGAGAGGTCGTTCCCCCTCAAACCCCAACATTCCCTATAACGCTCCCTTTCCTTCCCAGGAAAATCCCAAAGCCAGTCCTTGATGTTCAATGGGTTGATAAACCAGGCCAAATCAAGCCATAAGGTCTCCACACTTGGCATGGTAGCGGGGATCTTTTTGGGGTCCCTGGCATCTAGCGCGCACAGACGAGGCAAGGCTCCGTCCAAAAGCATTCTCTCACGCCCTGACTGGAGTCCTGATATGTCCATGTCTGGCCAGACCAACCATCATCTTTCTCGTCATCTGTACGTGTAGCTCGCTTTGGCGGGTGATGTTGAACTGGGACAAGAATACACATACACAGGTCAATGTATATGTGTATGTATGTATATATATATATATACATATATACACGTATATATATATATATATGTATAATGATACTGTTGAATCACTGCTGTGGCTACTCAGACTCAACAGCTTTCAGCGGCGCCCTCCTAAAGCACTGAGCCAGTGATCCACGGCGCCCGCTGGCGGCTCTCCTCGATGCCATCGCAGGGCTCGTCGCTGCGCTCCCCGAGGCCGCGGATGTCGTACCAACCTCCGCTCGCACCAAGCAGGACATGGGGTTGCCTTTTCGGCGAGGGTGCCCGCTTTCAGAAGCTTTTAACGAAAGCAAGGGGCATGGTTTGCGAGGTGATTTGCCATTTACAGTATAGTTACCCTCCCACCATATTTAGGGGGTCAAACCCCCCAACCATCATCCCAAACCAAAGATTCAGGTTCATCTGAAAAAAAAGACACGGTTGTGGGACATACCCGCATCTGTGAAACAAACCATACAGGCGTGAAACAAGGCGAACCAAAGGCAAGGCGAGCAGCTGGGCATAGGCATGCCCCCATTGAGCGACACCGGCTGCGTGGGGGCGGTGGGCAACACGAAGCGCGTCTCCGGCAACGAGGCCGCTAAGTGGTGCCTTCGAATCTTCAAATTGAATTAGATCCTTCGGTTGGAGTTTGGTGTGTTGACATGGTGATGTTTTGGGTTTGACCCTCCTTGAGGCAGAGCCCAAGCCAGGATCCAGCACAAGGGATTTTTAACATGATGGCTCCATCTTCAGATCAGGAAAATGGTTTGGATGCGTTTTGGCGGACTCTTCCACAAGTCTATTGTTGGTACCCGTACTTGAAGCCCAAAAGGGAGGATCAACAAAGTCTTGTCCAAACCGTACCTTAGAATAACCCAGCCTCCCCCAACGACATGTATCTGAAAGGCCCAGTCTGGCCGTCTGCAGGAGCTTCTGTAAATTGAACTTGTCGCCCCCAAGCAACAGTTTAGATGGGCGCACTTGCATGACCCTAACAACAGGAAAAGGACAAGTTGCCCGCACTGGGCCCGCCGTTTGGACTGCTCCTGGTTACCACATTCAGCGATTGTTTGTTTTTCTTTTCAGAAATAGCGAGGCCAAAACCACCGGCCAAACATGGAACGCGCCCGAAACGCGATTTCGTCTTGCAGAGGCTGCGAGGCTTGAATGGCAGCAGGGGAAAGCTTCCTGCACCTGCACCTAAAACCAACTGACAAGCACAGGTGGTTGATATCAAGGGCCAAGATCCCCGAGGTTGAAGTTTACGTAGTAATGTCTAACATTGGGGCAAAGCAATGGAACCCCATCGAACCCCCATCCGCATAAGGCTTGCCATTAGATTTGAGATATCCAACGACGCGATGCATCAAAGATGTAACACCACCCCTTCATCCGAAATGGAAGAAGGCAAGCCGCCGAATGGCACCCCTCACCCCTGCTGTTTTGCTCGAGGCACGCCCCGCCCAGCCAGCCCTCCGCGGTGTCGCCCAGGCCGTGCAGCAGCACCACGCAGCTGGACGGCTTCGAGGGCCCCAGCCGCGCCACGCGGCCGCTGAACCAACGGACTCCCAAGCCGCCGAAGCGGAGCCGTCCGCGGCGCAGCATGGCAACAAGGAGAGTTCGAGAAACCCAAAGCGAAGGATCAGAATGCGACAGCCCCGGCCAAACTCAAGCAGGGTCGTTTTTGCCGGGGTCCATATGATGTGTGGTGCTGTTATGGCTTCCGCTTGTGACGATGTGTGCTTATGTTTGCGTGCAGGCATGTTGGGCTGTTGACAGAAACCTTGACAAGGGCGTGCCTGTGTTCAGATCTTCACCTGCGCTGGTTTCTACAGTTGCCGTGCCATGTTCTACAGTTGCCGTGCCATGTGCCAACTGCTCGAAGAAGCACATTTCTTCAGCCTGATCTCAAGTCCAGTACAGGCATGTATGGCCCTCGCGTTGCAGAACGAGCATCTCGCCGCAATCAGTCAGCATAAGGTGCAGGATGATGCTGCGTCAAGTTGTCTGAAACTTCCTTAAGAATGCCCCTTGCCCCATGTGTCGACATGTTACTTATTTGCTTACCTTGCTTGCATCCTTAAAGCCGGACATCCAAACTCCAAGGGAACTGCTTGCACCCTTCAGGCCAGGAATCAGCCCATGTGGTTGAAACGCACCGCTTGCGAGCGGCAATCGGCTCCCCACGCCTAGGCGCGAGAGCAGCTGCGCCCAGCGCCCCAGGCCGCTCTTCTGCAGGAGCTGGCGGATGACTTTGACCCCGGCAAGCAGCGCCTCAGCGTTGGGTCAAAAGGGCACATCCTTGACAAATGCTCGAACCATCTGCTTAATCCTTGGCATGGTAGCCGGAGAAAACAAACGCATGAGAAGCATGCCAACAACAGTGTAACAGTTGTTAAAAGTTTGGCATACAAGAATCAGGGCATCCTGAGCAAAATGCAAATACCCATGCACACACACACAATGGCAACTATACAAGCTTCCCCCACATATTGCGATTACAGCTTAGGGTCACTGCAAAAATTGGCATGTGACTCTTGGTTAAGACATCTGAATTGCGCAAATGTGCGGTTGCCAAGTGCTGCCCTGAGGCGTGCCGTATCACCCATCACTTGCGAGGGATTGGCAGGCGGGAAGTGACCTTATTTGAGGCTTTCGAGAGTTTGTGGAAGCGAATGGCAAGCCGAATGACGGCAACAAATAACAAGTCACAGCACCATTTTGAAGCAACGGGCCTGTCCCGCAATTGCACGGGCCCGCAATGATACGCAGTTTGAGAATTGCCTCACGACAAGGCGTCAACCATGACCAGCCCCCATCACTCCACCTTGCGAAGAACCGCTTTGCCTTGTCAGACCCCATGACTGGAGATTTCCCTTATTGCAGTACCTGCCATGGAATGATCCAAGGGGACGCCCCCTGGATGTGTTCGAGATGAGGTGATGGCAGTGACGGCCCCGTGCCTGCCTGACAGTCAAATGAACACGTGAGACTCCGGGTCCGCGTGCGCAGGATCTCTTCATCATGCCACGCAACTCCTAAAGATGCCGTTCATCCGAGCTGCAAAGGATCGTCGGATCACCGGGAATTGCCAGCGGAGGCTGCGAAAGTCCATGATCTCCCTTGCACGGAAATCCTCACTTGAGTAGCCTATCAAGATCTATCAAGGCTCCGGGAATCAAAGGATTTCGAGAGGTTCTGAATACCTGTCTGGGGGTCTGGGGTGTTGTGTGGGGCTGGCCATCTTGTCCATTTCAGGAGAACAACAACCCGGCAGCCCCAGCAACAATCCTCCCCCCCATCCCCCATTATTGTTTCAACAAGAACTAACCCCCAAGGGCGGGGGGCTTCTTCAAGGGAGTCATTATCAAGGGGGGGCGGCTTCTTCAAGGGTTGCAAGCAATCCTGAACTTTGTTATAAAGTAGCACCTGGGTGTCAAGTAGGAAGTCTGGAAAAATTCAAAAATGCCCTTTTAATGGTGTTAGGGGGACTGAATAGCTGCAGGCTGAACACCCACCTGGCTGGGCATTTTCTATGCGAGGCACTCTTGCTTCACCAGGCTGAGCATGGCCAAGTCATGGGTGGTGATGCCCAGCAGGAGAAGCAGCGACAGCACCAGGAAGACCTGCGATGGCTTCGTATTGGTGGCCCGGAAAACCCACCACAGATCCTTGTGAGGGGGAGGAAGGGGTGCAAACTTTGCGTAAACAACCAGGCTGCAAAGGGAAGGCCAAAAGGATGTTGTTCAAACCAATGTGTTTTGAACATGCTTAAACAAGTGGTTGGCCCAATGCCAACCCTGCTGCCCTTGTGGCTGAAGCTTGGAACATGACAACACCTAGTACAACTATAACTCTGGTCACTGTCCCCTTGTCAGGGTTGTCCTGAAGTCTGGACCCCAAAAAATGGTGGGGCCCGTTTTGAAAATCACCATCACCCTTCCTGTGGTACCACAGTGGGATTCCCATCCAAATGATGACTTTATCACTTAAAGGACAATCAAGCTCTGCAAGACCTTGGTCTTGCGGAAGGTGGGGGGGAACTGTGCTGACAGTTGGATTGGACCCTGGCAATCTCAAAAGAATGTGCCCCAGTGTCCAGCCCTGGAGAATCCGGATCCCCAGCTTGGACTACGGGAGGGCAGAACATGTTCCTTTTGAACCCGACTCCAACAGGCAGACTCCGTTGCCCAATCGATGCCTATAGGAAACCAGCCGTGCCACTTTCCGGATTCGAAAGGGAGTAAACCATAAGAAAAGAGAGGAAACCATAGAAGACCAAACAAAAGCCGAAGCCCAAGGAACACCCAAGAAGACCAAGAGAAAAACATCCCAGAAGCCCAAGGAACCACAAATCAAAGCCGCGGAAAAGCCGGGAAGCCCCAACCCCACCCCTCCGGCGGCGCTTTGGCCCACCAGCGGAGCCAGTCAACGCCGCCGGCCATGGGCACCATGTGGCCTAGTGGACCGGAAGTGGCGGGTGGATCTCTCGCTTAGGGCAAAAAAATCACGGGCTTTCCCCTGTGGCTTTGGCGTCCCGTGGTTTCACGTTGGAAAAACCACCTTGTTCAAAAGGCCGATCCGGAAAAATACGAAAAGAATCGCCAAACCTCTACAGGTCCCAAGGCTCATGGAAAGCATCACATCGGTTTCGCGCAGCTGGGACTGACTACAAGGCTTATTGGGTGAATCAGGGTCGAATCAGGGTCATGGACCCTGTACCCGTAAGAGCAGAGCTGGCCGGGTGGTAATCCCACACATCTGAGAAAACAAACCGGAACCCCCAAAGCAACGGGCGTTCATACCACATATCCTCCCACAGAACCGTCACCCAATGACCTATCTCCGCTTTAGTCCGCATCCATCGCACTCGCAAACAAAGTTTGTAAACCTTAGCATGCGACCTTATTTCAATTGTCCCATTGAACACGGAACGTGACTGGAGGCTCCTGAAAGGCAACTTCATCCATTGCCACGTGCGCAGGGGACAACTGGTTTAGAATGCCCGGCTTGGTGGGCACTGAGCATGAATGCATGCCGTAGCTCCTACTAGTTGAAACATTTTGAGGAACAGCGGGACGCAACCCATCTCAAACACCGATGCAAGGCAGCCTCGTAATCTAAGGGAAGAAATGCATGACAGATAAAGAAGCCTCCCCCCCCCCCGGGCAAATACACAATGCAAATATAGGAATACTTTCAGACAAACATTTGGGGAGCCATCATCATGTGCGAGCTTGCCTACAATGGTATGTCATGCCACCATGTCGTGCCTCGCCTTCAAGTCTTTAGGTGAGCTCGTCAATCAATTCTTGGCCACGGCCATCTGTGTACTTTCATGCCGCCGAAAAAAGCGAAACGCGTTCAAATCTGCAAAGGGTAAGCCCATGTAGCGAACACAATTCTCAAATCGGGGGTTTGTGACACTGGTGGGCCCCAAAAATCGGTAGCTTCCTTTTGGCTTCCTTGAAAACAGCCTTGGCATGAGCAACCCAAATCGGTAGGTTGGAAGCGCCTGCCCCGATGATCTTAAACAGCTCAAAAACGTGCGTTCGACCTGGAAAGGTAATTAGAAGCTTCGTCACTTTCCAAGGGATGCCCTTTCCGGTCCGGCCGGTGGCCTACCTCCTGGGTCTGACATGGCTACTTGCAGAATCCCGAGAAGCAACCAAAGTGTTCACATTGTCCAGCCCCGAGACAAGCTTCGCCAAGAAGCCGTTGATGCTGGCCACTGGCACTTCTACGTCGCTGCAGGTTTTGTTCCTCGGGCGCCACCCGGTCCCGCTCGGCCCCAGCAACTTATGGGCTCACATGGGCCGCAACCAAAACCCAGAGGGTACACCACACCCGGTTGTCGCGAAATCGGAAAACCATAGAACACCTTTCTTTGGATAACTGGGAGCAAAGCGACCGTCTGGAGGGTTCTACCTAGTTTGCAGAAGCACCCACAGAAACAATTGTAAGGCTCAGGAACATCCGTTGCTGGCAAAACGAGCTGTTTGTGAGCATCACGACTACCCTTCTGCCCTAACATGACAACGAACGAAGATCTCAAAACAGTTCTTCATGGAGGGATCTTCTGTCGGCTTGCGTGTTCGTGGAGGGAAAGGACCGTGGGACAACCACACCCCGTTCTTTCCTGGTAGCCAAGACCACTAACAGGGGACACCTGTTTTTGAGGGACGGCCCAAAGGAAGCTCACGAAAAAGAAGCTGGAAATTGTGTGGTCTGTGTTTAATTCTTGCGAACCCAAACAAAGGTGTTGCATGAAAAAACACCAAAGAAAGGACACTGTTTGTAAGTTGGATTCAAAGAGAACCCCACCGAACAAAGAAAAACCTCTGCTTGTTAGTGCACAAAGAAAGGCGGAGTCCGCGGGTTGCGTAGAGCCAAGCATCACCATGTTCTTCACGTGGCACTCCAGCTCCGGAGTTCTCTCTCGATGCCTCCCAGGCGGCCGAATGTTCAGATAGAGTCGCGCCAATAAACCACGTGACACAGGGGCTCATCAAGTTCCATTGGGTCCTCCAAAAGTGTCAGTGCTTCAATGGAAGCCACCATTAAACTGTGACTTTTTCTCAGGGGAATCCCGGTGATTCCCCTCAGATCCGGGCAAACATCTTGCGCGGGACCCCAACGTCTGTGGCAACGTGCTCGCCTCAG